CCTCCCTTTTACCCTCTCTAAACACCCTCCCCTCCCATCCCCCCACCCCAATTCCATATGTAGGGGAATGCCATCCAGTTGGGGTCATGTAGATTTGACAAGTTCTGTGAAGTAGGGACTAGGGCTTCTCTCCTATACGTATGTATTATTTTATCCTACCAGTTTGATTCCTTCAGAGAAAACCTTGGCAAATCCAGATGCTTGCTACTTGTATTTTCAATTAATGATATATTGTACAGCTAGATGATTTCACTTGCAAAAAGCATCAAATGATGAACACAGGTAAGCACAAGGCACTCAGAACAAATGAACTTAGGTTCAGGATACACAGATGGATTTAACCCAAAGATGCAATTCAATAGTGTAGGAAATATTAAATATTACTCTTTTCTGTTAAATTTAGTAAGATTTTCATTAAAGAATTCAAATTTCTTTCTCTCCCACCTTGTAAGACTGCTTTATTCCAATCATTTTATCTCACTCACCTAGAAAATCCTTTGTGCAACTATTTCAATCCTCCTATCCCATAAACATCTGTTTACTTAAAAACTTTACTGCATCCCAGGAACTATGTGACCTGGAGCTATGATCCCCTTCCCTCTTTCCTGGATTTTCATCTTGCCAATTCTTTAAAAACTAGCCAATCTGAAAGAAAAGTTGTGAAATTGAATCCCAGACAAATGGGAAAACAAACAGTTGTGTTAGCATATAACCTATGAGCCCTTGAGACCTTATTAACTGGGAATGCTTTCTTTTTCTTTTTTCTTTCTTTTTCTTTTCTTTTCTTTTTTGAGTAGTAAACCTTGATCAAGAATATCTGCCCCCTAAGTGGAGACACTTTAATTGGATAGGTGATCTCTTTCTTTTCCACCCCAAATGTTTTCTAACCATAGAGATCCCTTGTTCTTAGCGAGATCTGTAGGGATATATTATTTGTGATTTATTGAAGCTTGACAGAAGATTCAGAAAAACAAAGTCAGCCACAAGCCTTAGAAGCCAAGCATACACATTTAATCCTTGGATTTGGGATTAGGAGTCCAAAGACACGGAGATCTACACAAGAGTGAATCAGCCTGAAATAGATTATAGCTCACACCTTTAATCCCATATATATATGACAGAAACAAGGTTTCACAGAGGCCATGCTGAGAGCTCACAGGGACAGGATAAATTCATTCATCCTGAGGTAGAGGTGAGATGTTAGTTGTCAGCTGCTTTGCTTTACTGATATTCAGCTTGAAGTTTGAACTCCAATATCAGTCTCTGGGTCATATATTTATTCGTGATATGAAGATCACAGTGATAAAAGTGTATAATATAAATCAAGCTCTTATGATAGATAACGTGTTAGAATACGTTTGTCACAAAATTAACAGTATTGAAAAACCAGCCAGATTATAAGAAACAGTACTGGAAACTATCCATGCTTCTGGATCAATTATGAGAAGTATTTACTCTTTGTGTAGAAGAAGCTTTCCTATGCTGATAAATTCTTTTTACTCTATAATATTTCTGACTATAGTTTATTAATGTATCATTTTAGTGGTTACTTTAGATGTTGGATTATATTTGCAAGACCTATCTCAGTCTAATTATCTGGACTATTATTTACAAGTGTGACTAGAATGCATAAATATGCTTCCTTTCATCTTACATCATTTCCTTTATATTTCCTCCATCATGACAACAGCGTACTATTACATCATTTTTGGTTTTGGAAATTTGGGGGCTTGAGGCCTTTTCTTAGATGTAGGGAGTAAGAATACTTTAGAGCTTGGGGAACCCCACAGTACAGGGAGATGAATGACTGTAGGAGTCAAAGGTTTGGCAGAGAACATGGTCAACAGAATCGACTAAGCAGGATGCAAGGGGCTCACAGACTGAGGTGACAAGCACAGTGCCTGCATGGGTCTGCACCAGGGCCCGTGCATATGTATTGTGGCTGACAGCTTGATGTTTTTGTAGGACTCCCAGCAATTGGGAGGCACAGCCAGGTGGATTTCTGTCAGTCAAGTCCAACAGTTAGTTGGAGGAGGTGTATCCTTGACTCTTCTGCCTGCCTATGGGACTCTTTTGTTGGGTTGCCTTGTCCAGCTTCTATTTGAGGGCTCCTATCTTGTCTAATTATGTCTTGCTTTGTCAAGTGTGATTGCTGTCGTTTACAGGCCTACTCTTTTCTCATGGGAGTTGGAAGTGGGATTTGGGAGGGAAAGGAGGTGGAGATGGTATGGGAGGGATAGGAGGAGGGGAAACTGTGTTCAGAATGAGAGGGAAAAAAACAATTTTCAATTAAAAACAAAAACAAACAAACAAACAAAAAAAAAAAACAAAATAAAAAACGAAAGAGACTCTTCTCTTCCGAAGGAGGAAACATCTATGATGACAACATAGATTGTAGGTGAAGCTAGGATTAGATTTATTCTTAATCTTATTTAGAAAAAAAATAGATTGACTTGTAATTTTCCCTGACAAAGGATTCACATTTTTAATACAGAAGTAAGTACACAATGATAACATTCTTTTTTTAATATTCATTATTTTCTTTAATCCCAGCAATTGGGAGGCACAGCCAGGTGGATTTCTATCAGTTCAAGTCCAACCTGGTCTACAGAGCCAGTTCCAGGACAGGCTCCAAAGCAATACAGAGAAACCCTGTCTTGAAAAACCAAAAAATAAATAAATAATAAATAAATAAAATAAAAATATTCAGTTCTGAAGATTATTTGGCTTTTAAGTATATATTGATCTCACAATGCTTCCCTCCTCACCACCACCATTACTACTGTCTTCCTATTCCACAGCAGACGGTCCATTAATTATATTTTATAATGTCACTCACATTCATACGACTGCTTTTAACCCCTGAAGGAGGAGGGCCCTGATCTGATACCTGAGATTAAAAATATAATGGTTACAATGATTTCACAAATTCTCCAAATGAACTTTATACACTGCCAGTATACCTTATAGGCTTGTATACTAACAGGGGACAATTAGCATTCGTAGATAATCTAGCTTAAGGCTACAGAGAGAAAGTGCTTGGTTTACTTCTGTGGGCTGAGTCTAAAGCTCTTGGATAATATAAGAGTATATAATAAAAGGACAAGAAAGGCAACCATATCTGGAGAGAGAAGTAGTCAGAGCTACTGGGAAGAGAAGAAAGCTGAAGAGAGTAACCAGCCAGTGCTTATACTTTAGTCCCTAGGTTGTGACTGCTTTACAACAGAAGTCCCATCTGTACCATTCAGTGTTTTTAACCAGTTCCCTGGGGGTTTTAACCTTTCAGAATTGTTTTGATAGAACCACATGAGCCCTGACTGATAAGCTGTACAACCTCCTGGTTTTAGCTCATAGATCACAACATGTAAATAAAACTTTCATATTTGTTTTTTGTTGTCTTAGCATAGAGTTGGCATGTAGCTACTTACACTGTGATTGAACCGTTTTTGACCATTACTTACCTAAGCAATATCAAGATTGCAAATAATGAGTCTTAAATAGTGTACATTCATTGTCAATATTCTGAACATATCTGGAATTTGTTTATAACATTATTTTTGTGTGAGATTTAATGCAGTACATACCTTAACAGGAAATGAAGCATTTGAAATGAATGCAAGAACAAATAACATGAAGAGAATAACAGATGTGTTTTATTTATTGGAAAATATATTGATTTACTTTTAAAAATTCTTATCCTTTCATCAAATAAACTTTTGCTGTTCTCTAGAAGATTAATACAAGAATAAAAGGTTCTAGATGATTACTACCTGGGGGGGGAATGTGTCCTACCGTTACTCTGGGAACAGCTATTGACATCTACTGCAGCATAAAGGGCATATGCATCTTTGAATACTATTCTTGTAAAATATCCTATTCCAACAAGCTTAGACCTTCCCTGGGACAACTGGGTTTTAGCTTTAGTCAATAAAGCATCTACCACATATTTTTTTTGGGGGGCAGTCAGGTCTTATTTGTGAATCTGTTTCAATAAAAGTGAATATTTGGTTAGCTTTTGTGTACTAATAAACACAAAGAAATCTCATATCGTCTACATTTTTTCCAGTAATGTTTTGATTCTACTAACATCTATACTTTATACATCTTTTAATGAAACCCAAATGATTTATATTTTTAAGAAAATTCTAAAACAATATCACATAGGAAAAACCTAAATGACCATCAAATCCTACTAACTCACAGAGTTATTTTATGGCCTTCTAAATTAAGTCTTACTGGCATAAGTCCGTGAAGACAGAAGACAAAAATATATTAATAATAGTCATATGAGCATTTATGATTTTTATTTTTTAAAAAACTATAATTTGTTAATATTCTGTTTTATGAAACTCTCTGAGGTCATTTATTTTGACCAAGAAAATATCAAATTTTTCGTTTGCTTATGAATAGTTACAGAAACAGCAACCTGATAAATCTTTTAGAGATGTACTGTAGACTGATTAAAGTGTTAATATACTGTTAATGGATATTAAAATTTCAAGAGATTTTTTTTCAGAAAACAAACCATGGAGTTAGGGGTACAATTCCACACTCCTACATTTAGAGGAATTATATATTTTGTTCCATCAATGTGTCTGCTTTACATTATTCAGCACAAAGCTTGGTGAAATAAGAATCATGGGAATATAAGAAGATAAAGGGAAAAGGTACAAATAACAGCTTCATAAACTGAGAAATGTACATAAATAAATCATGTATATGTGGGCAGTTTGCTTAGCTGGCAAGAAACAAAATATGGAAAATCTGCTTGTTAAACAATAACTACAGCGTGTGCTTTTATGATGTTTTTCACCACAGTAATTCATATTAGAGATAGAAGTGGTTGCATGTTAAATAAAATCATTGAGCATTGCTCCCCGAGCATTGCAAAGAGCTGACTTAGGTTGTTTTCAGATGCCTCCCATTAGGAAGTAAATATTCCTTGGGTGCAATGCATTTCAGAGACTGTAATAAAGACAAACGGTAAATAAAGTCACAAGGCGATTTCAGACATTTTTATTAGGAGATTGTTGAAAAGAAAAAGAAAATTAAATACAATAACAGTAAACGTGGTTCTCACATTGAAACCAGGCTCAAATAACTAGGCTACCATAGAAAAATTTCCAATTCTTGCATTATGATGTAAAAACAGATTTTTGTACAGATTTTGTACAACAAAATTCGTAATAACCTTTTATCATTTTTAGAAAACTTTAAATATATAGATAAAAATAGACAATTTTCATAGGTCCTACATGAAGATGAGTATGTTCTGTTCCAAGGGCTTGCATAGAGCGCAAATATGGTTATAATATAGAACAACTAGACGTTAATATTTGTAAGGTTACAAAAGCATGGAAAACATAAAATGGACACAATTTTACTTGCTTACACCAAAACACAAATTTCTAAACAAACCTGTTTAACTGAAAAGGCAAAAATTAAGTTACAAACTTACAATAACATTTTGTGAATTGTACTATGTACAACAGGTTAATAAGAGTCTCAACATACAGCAAACAACATTTGTCTTCAATTCTTCTAAAATTTCCTTTTTGTTTAACCAAACACCAAAGCATTCTCAGAGGTCTTTCACGTATGTACTTCAAAACAATTTACCCCACTTAACAGGTGGACTCTAGGCCAGGAGCAGAGCAATGGCCAACTCTACTACATATGTAAATTGTATCTGTTAATATATGACTCCAGATCTTGACACAAGTCCATCCAATTCATGTGTTGTAATCTTTTAAAGACTGTATGTAGGGAAAAACAAATAAATGATACAAGTAAGTAGGAATAGAATCTCTTTTCCTCAAATAACAAAACATGATCCTGGGAAAATTATGCTCAGCAAACCAAGTTTCTACAAAGCAGTTACTAACAATATTTTTAAATTAAAATATTACTCCCTCTCAAAGCAAGCTAAAATAACTGTACATATAACCCTTTGTTGTATGAAAAATGGACTTAACTGGTTAATAGCAAGTTGCAGCCAAGAATTAGTTATGTTTCAGAACTGCAAGGAAGACCTAAAAAGTACAGAAGCTTAGTGACACAGTGTCCAAACGGGTGAATTTTCTCAATCAAATAATGATTACCCAATCAGAACTATCTTTAAACATTTGAAGCTAGCTTCTTTACACTTATTACTTTGTTGTTTTAAGATGACAGAGAATCATAAAATGTACAGCCGCTGCACTGAGTCATGTGTCACTCAAATTGTGTAAAAACAACGATAACTTCCGAGTGTAATAGCCTCCAGTTATATGCACAAATGTGAAAACACATACTGTAACTTTCAAAAAGACAGTAAAAAATAACACGTAGCCACCCTTCCCTCTGAACAGGGTAGGAAGCACAGCACAGTTTAACTTTATCACTCGGGGCTACATGGTATCGGACCAATACACCAAGGGTTTGTTAAGTCTTGTTTTTCAGCAACATTAACATAATATGACATTAACATATAAAAATATCTCTGGTGTTTTGATTTGCTGGTCAGCCACAATTCATCCTCTGTAGTGAAGTATGGGGCACTCACTAGGGATCAATATACAAATAAAAGTAGCTGACACAGAGTTCTGATGTCACCAGACTCATAAGATCTCATTCATTAATACTGTGACTCCAGACAAATATTTACATGCCTGCATGCGTTAAAACCAGAAAGACATCTTTCTGACCAACAGGGTGACAAAACATATTTTCTAAAATGTTCATTTCCTAAACGCTAGTATACTACTGCATACATAATACCTTCCTGTGAGTTTTATGTTTATATACTGTACATGTGACCAACAGCTTGAGTAAGAAGCAATGTTATTAATTTTAATCCTATACACTACTACCAGTTTGGAATGAAAACATGTTATATTTATATATATACTTTATATATTTTTATCTTTAAGAAAAAAGAGACCACCAGTGAAACCTTTTGGCTTATATTCACTGCTTCTGTTTTAGATATGCAAAATGTAATTTCATTGAGTTGTTAACATATATCTGTTGGTCTTTCAGAAAGGATATGAAAAATGTCTTTAGGAGAAAATCGTCAATTACAGAGTTTAAAATCGAACGTAACAGAATGCTCTCAATTCTCTCACTGCCCACCAAATCCTCGATGGCTCTTACAGGTTCTTCCCATGCATTCTTGCTGGCTTCTGTGGGACACTGTTCTGTAAGTATAGGTGAACAAACACTGTGACAAAGTCTGTTGATGCGCTCAGTTACAGAATTTTTAGAAGAGGAAAAATGGTTCATTCCATTGAGAAGAACAAAAAGAAAGCAAATCAAAGCCAGGTCTTCCTTAGACCCATCTTTAACCGTGTACACAGTTGTGCAGCAGAGCATAAGAGTTGCTGACTGCTGGAAGTTTGATGTGTGCACATTTTTAAACATTCTCTGTCTCCAGTATGAGCCACAGGTGGAAAATCAATGATGGAAACTTTTCTGCTTTTGTGGAATACTTAAATGTTAAGGGAAGTTAACACACAAAGTTGAAGAAGTTCCTTTATATGAATTTTTTTGTTGCTGTTGTTTTCCTGAACTTTCCAATGCTGAATGCCTGACTCTAGAGTTCTGTAGTAAAGGATGGGTTTCTTCAACGGGAAGGATTCAGTACATGACGGTAGTTTTCAAATACAGTCTTCCATCTAAAACAAATGACAGAAACAATTAATGACGTAGTATTTAAGGAGCAAATGTGGATATAAGAAATACAAAATTTGGCGTGAAATTCTTGTTTTTAATCTTGCTTGCAAGTGCTTAGGATGTAAGAGTTTTCACATATTTTCTGTGTTAATTCCATAATTAAATGAGTTCATAGGATCTTGGAGGATACAGAATTCCTAGTTCTCATAAATATATTTGCTACAATGATATCAATTCCAGACCATTCAGAACATAGATAAGGGTATGGGTGTATGTGCATTACTGATATGCAAAGCTAGTGACTTTCTGTTGAATGACAATTACTTCCACCAAGCTTGCAGAACTAAATTTTCTGAGAATGCACTCAGGTGTGTCTCCATCAAGAAAGCCGAAGCCTCTTCTCACTCACTAGTGGTGTTGTTCAATATTCTATTGTGAATATGTGTTGCTATTTACTCGACAGTCACCAGTCTTATTTTAACACCACCAATAAAGCAGATATTTTTTTCACTGTATTGAGATGCACTGAACAAGTAAATCTTAATTAATAAGTATACTACATAAACTTAAAACATATGGGAAATAAAAAGTAGTGTAATCTTGGACATATTGGATAAACTATTTGAATGAAGCAGAAATAAGAAATAGGAAATTAATTATCCAATAAAAACACAGGTTTATTTTTAGATATATTATACTCTAACTAGTCCCCGCTGTGGTTGGCCTAACCTGATTCAAGTGTATGTAAAATTCTAGTACTCCCAGCTATAAGAGAGGGTAGAATGATTGGAAAATTTACAGTCAGCAAGGAATTAGATACAGATCAGAATAGATTTTAGAAAACAGAAAAGTATTTATGCATCTCACTTAATTAAGTGCTGTTAAATAATCTATACAAGGTATAGATAGTAATTGGTACAAAACCTCTGTCAATGGTAAAGCATTTTTCCCTTAATAGAAACAATGATTTGGCAAAATTCTACATTCTTGTCATGTTTTACATTATCCTAATTTTCAGAAGTAGAATATCACATCAGAATTCAGCACTTTCTCCCTTCAACTTATTCTTCAGATCATTCTCGTTACTTTTTTAAAAATTTTCAAGGTATCCAACTTTTGTTTCCCAGTCTATACACCCTAACCTTTTATTGTGAACTTTCTAACTGATAAGTCCCATGAAAGTGACAGCCATGTCTCTGTTCCTGTCAATATTAGAAGCAGAATGATCTGTCAAAGTGCTTCCCTTAAATGTTTTGGCATAGTAAGTGTTAAACTTCCTAAAATATTTTAAACATTTATTTACTATATAAGTGTGTGTGTGTATGCATGTGGGTTTGTGTGTGCATTCTGCCATGCGTATGCTTATGTGGTGGGGGATGCCAGTGGACAAAATGCTGGTGTCAGTTTATTCCTTCCACCATCTGTGTTAAGGGAAACGAGTTCACATTATTAGGGAAGCCCTTATACACTGAGTTATTCCACCAAACTAAATGTTAAACTTTTGAAGAGACAATATGTGTGAAAAATAATTAGGATATTTTAATGTTTACATTTCAAATTTTCAATAGTGATGTATTTGCATCACAGAGGCCAGAATCCAAATCAATAAAAGTTTCATCTCAAAGAAATCAGTGACAGTCTTTATTATCAGTAAAGCTAACTTTTCCCAAATACATATTGTGCTAAAGATACATGAATGGGTATTGAGTCTATGGAAGAGTAGGGTGAAGACAGGGTTAGTAGAACTAACACTAAGGATGTTTGAAATGGCCATGTGGGAACATACTATTTCATAATCTATCTATCTATCTATCTATCTATCTATCTATCTATATATATATATATATATCTCTGTATCTCTATCTCTATATGTATCTCTTTCTCCCTCCCTCCCTCTCTCTCTGTCACACAGACAGACAGACAGGCACATACATACACATGCACCCACACATACACTTAAAGAGATTAATTTTAATATTCCTACATGAGGGTTATGTTCCTCTTAGAAGTCAGAATTTGACAAACTAAAAACCCAGTGCCATGTGTGGGAACTTTGTCTTGATTTGTCGGTCAAGGTTGTCCTGGAGATCCCCTGAACAGTGCAGACTATTGCCATTGTAATTGGTTGCCCACCATATCCTCATGGTAGGCCCCTAATCCTTTCAACACCACACATTTTACTGATACAACATGGAAAAATAAGTTGGTCTTGATCAAATACCTTCCTTCATAATACTGGCAGGTGCTATGCAGGAAGATGAAGAAATGAGCCACCATGACCCCTGTGGCAAGATGTTCCATGGCTATAACAAGAGTGGCACAGATGTATGGGGCTGAACAACAGCTGTCTGGTTGATTTTAAAACCTGCTCCACATGAGGAAGTGTATGTCTAATGATACAAAACTTGCCAAGAACGCATAACTTGTGGGCCCCGTGGATAAACTCACTTTTACTACTTTGCTAAATACACATAGCATCAACCTGTCCTCCAAATTCATATCTCTAGACCCATAGATGAGGGATGTCTCAGATTCCATCAAATTTACTTCATAAAAGGGACAGTGTTTAATACCAAACATGCAATTGGTGAAATGCTGAGAACATGTATAAAGCCTCAAGATGGCTGTTTATATCACCTGCTACTACTCCCTCAAGGTTCAAGGACCATTCTGGAAGATCACATAGAACAATTTTAAGACTATAAGTATGACCGGAGGATCACACTATCTTCTGAACATGACAGTACCACTGAGCTCATGACTTCACAGCAACTGTGGTTGGCTGTGCATGATCTGCAGAAGATCATGTCAGTGAACATTCTAGCACAGAGCCAGGAAGGTATCAAAAGCTGCTCATCCCATTGGGAGATACTGATTGTTGATGGCTTCTGGGAAAAAGAGATTCAGTTTTTATTAAAGATTTTATTATCCCTCACAGGTAGACTATGCTCTACTGGATGACTCCATGCTCAAGAGAACATGGGTCGCACCAATAGGACTTGGTGCCATATTTTGGGAGCAGTTTGGAGATTTGGTGTTGGACTTAGGATGGGTCACGGCAGGAGTGAGGATAAATATGAGAAAAATACATTGTATGAAAAAATGAAATTCTCAAAGAATTGGTGAAAATGTCTCCATTTCCTCGTACCAAAAAAACATATTTTTTTTTTCCTAAATAAGGATTGAAATGCTTGAGGAAGCTTTGTTTCAAAGACATTTTTACAGATAAACAAATGGAAGCACAGTAATCATATATTAATAATAGTACAAATACTGTGTCTACTCCATTATGCATCCTTTCTTTAACTAAACACTGGAATAAATTCAGAGTCTCTGACATGCACTCCCTCCTCATGGCTCATCCTTTTTGCTCTGCTCCAAGGGCAAAGCCTTCCCTTTAGTCTGCACAGCTTGTAATCAAACCTGGTATTCTGATATTCCTCTTTCAAGAAGAAAAAAAGAAAAAAGAAAAAGCCCTCGTTTTCCTTTGACGCAGTGATTATTTGCTTTTGTATGGGAGGTTGATATGACAGGAAAAAAATCATCAGGCTAAACTTTGTGCATGGGAGTACTTAATTAAAAAGTCTGTTCTAATTAAAAGCATTTGGGAGTAGGGGTTGAGTGAAACTATTTAAATTACAAATTCCTAATAGTTTCAAAGTTCATCATGATTTGATACTTGCAGCCATAATTTGGTACACAAGAAAGTATCTTGATCACTGAATAGTTTGTCACAGGTGTGAATTTTTGTATGCTGCTTATTATTATGCAGATTTAAATCTACAGATAACAAGATGAAGAAACATTTTAAATATCATCATAAGAATGAACTTAATGAAGGTCTTTCATTTTGTTTTAGAAATTGAACTAATGGCCTTGGAATGCTAGGCAAGTGTTCTAACAATGTAACTGAATATATATCCAGTATGATCTCAGATTTTAATATTATTGAAAACCACAAAATTAGGCTCAATTATGTTTATGGATTTTGTATAGTATAAATCTTTATGAAAAAGATGGGAGGAGTGGGGAATTTGTCACAAAATTTCTACCTTTGTTTTTTTGCTGAAAAAGTAAGTTTAGATATTGGGCTTCAAATTTTGACATGTACTATTACTTGAAGTTATTGATAATGTCTAATAAAAACTACCTTTCTTATTCATGTAAAGATTACTCTAGTGAATAAATATAAGTTTTATTAGCCCAGTGAGATATCATTCTATCAATCACATTATTTAACATAATTTTAAAAAAGATAACATGCAAATAACAACAATTTCACATTGCTTTGTCAAGTGTTAGCAAGAATATCATTAGCCATTAGGCAAAAAAATCAGTAAAAGGAGAATATGCTGTTGCAAAATATCACACCGTATATGAATATATGTATATTTTAGTTTTGAATTTTGAATTTCTTGCAAACATCTAGAAGAAACACTTACCTATCTTTTACATAAAGGCCTTAAAACAGTATATCCCATGAGGAAGTAACCTTATTAAAAAAGTAAACCTATGTGTTCAAAACCAATACCTAGGCACCTGTAATCTGATTGTAGCTTTCAGAAAACTGTTGTATGCACACACTCTTTACTACTGTAGAGTGGAGGAGAATATTAACAGAGGCGAAAGTAAACATATAAAGCTATATATCTAGAAAGCTTAATATTTGCCTAAAGAATATGAAGTTAATATAAAATATGTCTCAACATAATGTCTTAATCATGTGAAGCAGAGGAAATCAAAACAAGCGATGAAAACAAATGTTAATGATTCATGTGATATTTGATAAGACAACGAAAGGAAGTAAAAATAAAAGCAAACAAACAGGAACAGATGGGAAGGATCTCTGTCAAGTCATAACCCTTCTCCTAAAACCCCCAAAGGAAGAAGCTAATTAAAGAAAATATTGTTTCTTGTTTTTTTATAAATTTATATTTAGAGTAAGAACATTCTGCTACTGCTAAAGCAAAGAAGCAGAGACACAAAGTCTACATTGAACATG